TTCATTCTCTTTTTTTTTTTTTTTTGAGACGGAGTTTCGCTCGTTACCCAGGCTGGAGTGCAAAGGCGCGATCTCAGCTCACCGCAACCTCCGCCTCCCGGGTTCAAGCAATTCTCCTGCCTCAGCCTCCTGAGTAGCTGGGATTACAGGCTTGAGCCACCGCGCCCGGCCGTCTCTTCATTCTCTCGACAGTCTCTTTTGCAGAGCATAAGTTTTATTTTATTTATTTTTTTGAGTCAGCATCTCATTCTGTTACCCAGACTACAGTGCAATGGCGCGATCACGGCTCACTGAAGACTCAACCTCCTGGGCTCAAGTGATCCTTCCACTTCAGTCTCCCGAGCAGCTGGGACCACAGATGCACACCACCATGCCTGGCTAATTTTTAAATTATTTTTTGTAGCGACAGGGTCACACTATATTGTGCAGGCTGGTCTTGAGCTCCCGGGCTCAAAGCATCCTCCCACCTTGGCCTCCAAAAGTGCTGGGATTACAGGCGTGAGCCACTGTGCCCAGCCAGGGTACTTTTCTAGGCACTGGGGATACAACAGTTTTTTTTTTTTTTTTTTTGAGACGGAGTTTCGCTCTTGTCACCCAGGCTGGAGTGCAATGGCGCCATCTCGGCTCACCGCAACCTCCGCCTCCTGGGTTCAGGCAATTCTCCTGCCTCAGCCTCCCGAGTAGCTGGGATTACAGGCACGTGCCACCATGCCCAGCTAATTTTTTTGTATTTTTAGTAGAGACGGGGTTTCACCATATTGACCAAGATGGTCTCGATCTCTTGACTTCGTGATCCACCCGCCTCGGCCTCCCAAAGTGCTGGGATTACAGGCTTGAGCCACCGCGCCTGGCAACAGTTTTTTAAAATACAAAAGTTCCTGTCCTCACAGAGCTTACCTTCCAGTGTGACAGAAAGGTAATAAATAAAAGTATGTCTGATGGCAATAGGTAGAGAATTTGCTGATGGATCAGATGTGGGGGGTGAGAGGAGAGGCAGCCAAGGATGACTGCATTGTTTTTGGAGGAACGGGACTGCCGTTTACGGGGAAGACTGAGTAGGGTTGAGTAGGACAGGATGAAAACAGGAATTTGGTTTTAGACACGCTGAGGTTGAGGGACTTACCAGCCACTGAAGTGGAGATGGCAAATAGGCAGCTGGCTTATATAGTCATGTGTTGCTTAATGATTGGGGCATTTCTGAGAAATGCATAATTAGGCAATTCTGACATGGTGCCAACATCATACAGTGTACTTACACACACCTAGATGGTCTCCTACACATCTAGGCTGTATGGCATAGCCTATTGCCACAGGCTACAAACTTGTACAGCAAGTTACTGTACTGTACTGAATACTGTAGGTAACTTAAAACAATGGTAAGTATTTATGTATCTAAACATAACTAAACATATAAAAGGTAATGTGTTATGACAGCTATGTCACTAGGTGATATAAATTTTTCAGCTCTATTATAATCTTTTTTTTTTTTTTTTTTTTTTGAGACAGAGTTTCGCTTGTGTTTCCCAGGCTGGAGTGCAATGGCATGATCTTGGCTCACCGCAACCTCTGCCTCCCAGGTTCAGGCAATTCTCCTGCCTCAGCCTCCCGAGTAGCTGGGATTACAGGCACGCACCACCATGCCCAGCTAATTTTTTGTATTTTTAGTAGAGACGGGGTTTCACCATGTTGACCAGGATGGTCTCGATCTCTTGACCTCGTGATCCACCCGCCTCAGCCTCCCAAAGTGCTGGGATTACAGGCGTTAGCCACCGCGCCCGGCCTAGCTCTATTATAATCTTAAGGGACCACTATCATTTATGAGGTCAGCCAATGACCCAAGTGTTATTATGTGGCACATGACTGTATATGAAACTCAAGTTCAGGGGAGAATTCCAGGCTAGAGGTGATAACTTGAGGTTCATAAGCATGTAAATGGTCATTAAATCCTTCAACTTAGATGAGGTCACCTAAGCAGTGACTCAGAGAAGAAAAACACAGGCACAGACCTCTGGGACTCTCTAACATTTGGAAGTTGAGAGATTAAAAAAAAAAGAATAGCAGGCCAGGTACAGTGGCTCACGCCTGTAATCCCAGCACTTTGGGAGGCCGAGGCGGGTGGATCACGAGGTCAAGAGATCGAGACCATCTTGGTCAACATGGTGAAACCCCGTCTCTACTAAAAATACAAAAAAAATAGCTGGGCATTGTGGTGCATGCCTGTAATCCCAGCTACTTAGGAGGCTGAGGCAGGAGAATTGCCTGAACCCAGGAGGCGGAGGTTGCAGTGAGCCGAGATCACGCCATTGCACTCCAGCCTGGGTAACAAGAGCGAAACTCCGTCTCAAAAAAAAAAAAAAAAAAAAAAAAAAAAAAAAAAAAAAAGAAAAAGAAAAAAACAAAACAAAACAATGGAGATTTGGGAGGAATAGCCACTGAGGAGGAAAACCAAGATAGAATGGTGTTTTGGAAGCCAAGAAGACAATGTTTCAAAGACAGCATGACCAATGTTAAATGGGCTGATAGGTCAAGTAAGGTGAGTACTGAAAACTGAACCCTACTTTTAGCAATGTGGAATTATCAGTGAGCCTGAATAGAAGGCTCAAGAGTAACTGGGAGGAGATAAAGGAAAGAAAGCACAGGAAACTCTTTTGAGGAGTTTTTCTATAAAGGGAGGCTGAGGAGTGGGACAGTGTCTGGAGGGGATGTACGGTCAGGAGGACTTTTCGAGGGCTTATTTTTTTCTTTTTCTGTTTTTTTTTTTTTTTTTTTTTTTTGAGACAGAGTCTCACACTGTCACCCAGGCTGTAGTGCAGCGGTGCAATCTCGGATCACTGCAATCTCTGCCTCCTGGGTTCAAGCAATTCTCCTGCCTCAACCTCCTGAGTAGCTGGGACTACAGGCACGTGCCACCACAAGTAGCTAATTTTTTTGTATTTTTAGTAGAGATGGGGTTTCACCATGTTGACCAGGATAGTCTCGATCTCCTGACCTCGTGATCCACTCGCCTCAGCCTCCCAAACTGCTGGGATTACAGGCATGAGCCATCGCGCCTAGTCTATTTTTTTCTTTTTTAAGCAAGAGAAGCTACAGGATATGTTTATATTGTTAGGAATGATCCAGAAGAGAGAGACACTTAGGAAACAACAGCAGAAGGTGAAGCTGTTTGAGATACAAGATGATTTCTTTTCTTTTTCTTTTCTTTCTTTTTTTTTTTTTTTGAGACAGAGTTTCGCTCTTGTTGCCCAGGCTGGAGTGCAATGGCGCAATCTCGGCTCACCGCAACCTCCACCTCCTGGGTTCAAGCAATTCTCCTGCCTCAGCCTCCTGAGTAGCTGGGATTACAGGCGCGCGCCACCATGCCCAGCTAATTTTTTGTATTTTTAGTAGAGACGGGGTTTCACCATGTTGTCCAGGATGGTCTCGATCTCTTGACCTCGTAATCCATCCGCCTCGGCCTCCCAAAGTGCTGGGATTATAGGCGTGAGCCACCGCGCCCGGCCTCTTTTTCTTTTTTTTAAAAAATTTCTTTTGAGACAGAGCATCACTCTGTCTCCCAGGCTGGAGTGTGGTGTCCCAATCTTGATCTGGGCTCACTGTAAACACTGCCTCCTGGGCTCAAGTGATCCTCTCACCTCAGCCTCCCAAAGTGCTGGGATTACAGGCATGAGCCACCACACCTAGTCTAGACGATTTCTATTAGTAACGAAGACATAGATATGGCTTCTATTATTGCAGTTTATTGCCTGTCATCATAATTGATGTAAACACAAACTTTTGGTTAGTTAGTAAAAATCACATGCAATTTTTCTCCCTTCTAAGTTTATGAGCCTTCCTAGTTTTAGGGTATGATTATGAGAGTATGTGGCTGGGGTAGAGTGGATGACAAGACCATTGGTGGAGGGCAGGTGAAGGAACTGAGAGGCTAGGGTTTTGTGGAAATCATGTATGTGGACAGTGAAATGTCCGATAATTCTGAAACAACAGTGGTCCTAAAGCAAGTGACAGTGAGCTGGGAGCTCTTGTCATTTGGCCTCCACATGAATGAATGCTGCCAGAGTTAGGGTATTCCCAATGCATGAGGCAGCTTCTCCTACTTCTTGATGATTGCAATTATAGGAAACTTATTCCTTATTCTAAATTACACTCTATCACCTAATATTCCCCATCTTGCTCCTGGCTCAACCCTCTAGAACTATTCAATCCCACTGACTTCAGATAATTCTTGAAGCAGTCTAGACAGTTCCAAATGTTCTCTTTTCCAGGAAGAACACTGTCAGGTCTCTCAACCATTTCTTATACATCATGGTTTCCAGTACTTTCACTATTTTGGTTGTTCTCTTTGGGATACACTTGATTCACTGTCTTCCTAGGGGTGACAGTCAGTGGCATGATCTTCCAACTTCCCTTGTGCTATCCAAATCACTATGGCAATTAATAAACACTTTATTTTGCCAAGATGGGTGTGGGTACAACATTGTTACTGAGCGACAGCAAAACATCTTGTTTTTTTTCTCTTTTTTTTGAAACTTAGTCTTGCTCTGTCGCCCAGGCTGGAGTGCAGTGGCATGATCTTGGTTCACTGCAACCTCTGCTTCCCAGGTTCAAGCAATTCTCTGTCTCAGCCTCCCAAGTAGCAGGGATTACAGGTGCCTGCCACCATGCCCAGCTAATTTTTGTATTTTTGGTAGAGACGGAGTTTTCACCATCTTGGCCAGGTTGGTCTTCAACTCCTGACCTCATGATCCACCCACCTCGGCCTCCCAAAGTGCTGGGATTACAGGTGTGAGCCACCGTGCCTTGCCAAAACATTTTATACAAGTTATACGAAGACATTTCTTCGTTTCTTCTTTATAATCTGTAGTCTTCTCCTATCCTTGCTAAATTCACAGTGATTAATGTTATGGCTGTGGAATTACTGCCAAGAAAGAACATTACAGTGTCCATGTTTCTAACACATGGCAGAAAATACTATGAATTACTGTGTCAGAAGGAGTACTTACAAGAATATCAGTATTTTCAAAATAATTCCTCCAGTATGGTCTGATTTTCCTCTGTCCGCCAATGTCCCATACATTCAGCTTAAAACCTTGTGATTGTACACTTTTGATGTTGAAACCCTGAAACAGGGGCAAAAACATCAAGTTTTATTAAACTTTGAGATCATAATTCCGACAAAGTTACATTTAATAGCTATGTTTTTCATTAATTCTAAAATACTCTGCTATATGTGATACTGGTAATGCTGAAAATGATTTGCTGTGACAAATAATAAAGAAACATATTTATACATGTTTATTTCATCCAGGTTGTGGAGTCAGTATAAATAATGTCAGGCTAACATGATGTTTTTCTACAATGAACATATGTAGAAATATAATTGCTGAGGATAACTCTAAATGAGAATAGATCTAATCAATCAACACATACCACATGACCATGAATCTTCAGAATTGTAAAATTTAACAGGACATTTCATGGAACTAACAAAAAAACAAGCTGCATCTGAAGACTCAACAGAAAAGAACACAAGCTAAATTTAAAGAGGCAAAAGCTAAAAAGCTAAAGGATTAGATTCTTCAAGAGCAACTCAAAATAAATTTCCTATTGGAATTAATCAGGTAAAAGAGAGCAGAACTGAGGATGCTACGGGGGAGGCTGGATTTGTAACTCCAATATCAGCCCAGTAGGGAGGTGGAGCCCTCGGTTACAGACACTGATGGAAACAAACAAGTGGTCACTTAAAATTGTGCTTTCATAGGCAACTCTGATGAACTTGAAAAGGAACATCTTTTTTTTTTTTCTTTTTTTGAGACACAGTCTGGTTCTGTTGCCCAGGCTGGAGTGCAGCAGCTCAGTCTCAGCTCACTGCAACCTCTGCCTCCCAGGTTCTACTGCCTCAGTCTCCCGAGTAGCTGAGATTGTAGGCACCTGCCACCACACCTGGCTAATTTGTTGAATTTTTAGTAGAGATAGAGTTTCACCATGTCAGCCAGGCTGCTCTCGAACTCCTGACCTCGTGATCTGCCCACCTCCCAAAGTACTGGGATTATAGGTGCAAACCACCACACCCAGCCAGAAGTCTTCATTTCTAAGACAGTTACTTGAGGTGAAACTTTGAAGAAGGTGAGCAAATCAGGGACAGGCAGAATTGCCAGCTGGTGGTTTAGTGTGAAAAGAAACAAATTAACAAGCACTTTGGGGTTCTCAGAGAATGTATTTCATGAAGAAGTTTTTAAAAAGTCTTCTTGCAAAAGTTACATAGGGAAACCAGGATTTGAAAGACCCAATCAACAGCTTGCTACCATAGAAGAGACATTTCATCCAGAATAACTGGAGTTAGATAGGTTTGGGGATGCCTCCACAAACATTTGTTTCATGTGGCAGCCTGTCAACACTGCTGCCTGGCACAGAAGGAGAAGGCACAGTGCAATAGGACAGGAACATTGCCACTCAGTTTCCACTGAGGATACACAGTCTCTGGAGGATAATGGGGGATGCTGCTGACTCTCACTTCTCTAACATGCCAATGACTGAATACATTAGAAGCTCAAGAATTTTAAAGGGAAATGGCTTAAGCTTATTTAAAAAAGCAGCTTCATTGTGACTCATTGGCAAAACTACTTTGGTGTATTTAAACATTCCACACTCAATGATATTAAATGTCAAACTCAGTAATACTGAATCCTTTCTGGAATAAAGCAAAAAATAAATAACAGTAAAACAAATCTTGGAATTTGACCATATGTATCAATGGCCTTAAATGTCTGTAAGTCATGAGACCCAACAAATCTAGGAATTTATTCTGAGGAAATAATAATAATGAAAGGGCACAAACATGTAGAGATGTACATTATATATGTATTTACATATATAATAACATAGAAAGATATTCATGATCTGTTAAGTGAAAAAGATGAAACAAGTTCAGTGGCTTACACATATAATCCCAGCATTTTGGGAGGCTGAGGCAGGAAGACAGCTTGAGCTCAGGAGTTCAAGGCCAGCCTGGGCAATGTAGTGAGACCCCATCTCTACCCCCACACACAAAAAAATTAACTGGGTGTGGTGGCACCTGCCTGTGGTCCTAGCCACTCAGGAGGCTGATGTGGAAGGATTGCTAGAACCCAGGAATTTGATGCTGCAGTGAGCTATGGATGGTGCCACTGTACTTCAGCCTGGCCAACAGAGTGAAACCCTGTCTCAAAAGAAAAAAAAAAAAGGCCGGGCGCGGTGGCTCAAGCCTGTAATCCCAGCACTTTGGGAAGCCGAGGCAGGTGGATCACGAGGTCAAGAGATCGAGACCATCCTGGTCAGCATGGTGAAACCCCGTCTCTACTAAAAACACAAAAAATTAGCTGGGCATGGTAGCACGTGCCTGTGATCCCAGCAACTCCGGAGGCTAAGGCAGGAGAATTGCCTGAACCCAGGAGGCGGAGGTTGTGGTGAGCCGAGATCGCGCCATTGCACTCCAGCCTGGGTAACAAGAGCGAAACTCCGTCTCCAAAAAAAAAAAATCATATATATATATATATATATATATATATATATATATATATATGAGATACAAACTAATATATCCTCTATGAGCCATTTTTATTTTTTATTTTAAATATACCCATCATATATATGCATAGAAAAAACTTGATACATTCCTAGATGTGAACAGTGGTATGTCTGATTGGGCATTATAGGTAACTTCTAGTTTCTCAATTTTATTTATTTATACTTTCTAAATTTATTACAATGAGCATTTATTGTTTTTTCTAATATAAAACAAAAACATAATAAAAGTTAGTTTCTAAAGAATATGAAAGCTTGACACAATATAATATCAGAGTCACCTATAACACACTGAATAAAGCCTGAAGATTAGAGTTAGAACTCTGGGTTCTAACTTTGAGTTTACTTCTGTGTTTGCAGTGTGGAAATCTTCCTGTCAGTGTTCTTGAGAGATATAGTCTATCACTAATACAAACAGTAATAACAACAACAAACCACAGGTGCACGCACACAAAAACTAGCACTTCTTTTTCTGGCAGAAATCTTGACACACTAATATGTGTTTTCCAGCCCTTCTAGGCTAGACTACTGTAATTTGCTTCTCCTTGGGCTATACATTAAATTTGTTCAGAAGCTGTAAAATCGTTCATTTGGTAGCAGTTGAAATGACTTTTCCACAAAGAGTTGTGAATCAGTAAGACTCGTAGGCCGCGAAGTATGCACACACGCCAGCACAGCCATTCAAACCTGACACCAGGGTCTTATCACAGTACAGTGATGGAAAATGCTAAATAACTCTGGTTTTGCTAAAACCTCTAACCTTTAATGCTCAAACACTTTTAAGTGACTAAGACCAACAGGCTGTCCCTGTTGGCTCAGCCAAAGGTCAAGCATTCTCAGGATTTCCTACAGGGAATGAGGTCTAAGAAGCCCACTAGAGTTTTTCCAATCAGGACTCGTCTTTAATCCTCCACACTGTGAGCACCATCATTGCCTTATCCTTCATGCTTTGCTTGCTTGGCCTTTTCCAGAAAGAGGAAGGTCGATGAGGCTGGATTTAAAAGGCAGGTAATTGTTTTTTACATAAAAAATTGATACATATTTGTATTTTTTAAGTCTGAAAAGTATAGGCTAAAATATTAACCACGTTTGTTTGTTTGTTTGTTTGTTTGAGACAGAGTCCCGCTCTGTCACCCAGGCCGAAATGCAAAGGTGCAATCTTGGCTCACTGCAACCTCCGCCTCCCGGATTCAAGTGATTCTCCTGTCTCAGTCTCCTCAGTAGCTGGGATTACAGGTACGTACCACGACACCTGGCTAATTTTTGTATTTTTAGTAGAGATGGGGTTTTATCATGCTGGTCAGGCTGGCCTCGAACTCCTGACCTCATGATCTGCCCGCCTTGGCCTCCCAAAGTGCTGGGATTATAGGCATGAGCCACCATGCCCAGCCTTAACCATGATTTGTCTCAGAGTTTTCTCCTTTATACTTTCTCTGTGTTTTCTACATGCACTGCTTTCATAATCGGAGAAGATAAAGCTGTTTTTAAAAAGAATAGGCTGGGTGTGGTGGCTCATGCCTGTAATTCCAGCACTTTGGGAAGCCAAGGTGGCTGGATCCACCAAGGTGGGTGGTTAGTTTGAGATCAGCCTAACCAACATGGTGAAACCCTGTCTCTAAAAAAAATTTAAAAATTAGCTGGGCCTGGCGGCACACACCTGTAGTCCCAGCTACAGGGGAGGCTGAGGCCTGAGAATTGCTTGAATCTGGGAGGTAGAGGTTGCAGTGAGCCAAGATTTCACTACTGCACTCTAGCCTAAACGACAGAGTGAGACTCTGTGTCAAAAAATAAATAATTTATTGATTTTAAAAAATAAAGTAAAATGAAAAGAATATAGGTAGGCCAGGCGCGGTGGCTCAAGCCTGTTATCCCAGCACTTAGGGAGGCCGAGGCGGGTGGATCACGAGGTCAAGAGATCAAGACCATCCTGGTCAACATGGTGAAACCCCGTCTCTACTAAAAATACAAAAAATTAGCTGGGCATGGTAGCATGTGCCTGTAATCCCAGCTATTCAGGAGGCTGAGGCAGGAGAATTGCCTGAACCCAGGAGGCGGAGGTTGCGGTGAGCTGAGATCGCACCATTGCACTCCAGCCTGGGTAACAAGAGCGAAACTCCGTCTCAAAAACAAAAACAAACAAACAAAAAAAAGAATATAGGTAATCACTTGGATCTGTGGGATTTGATTGTCTATACACACACACACACACACACACACACACACACACACACATATATGTATATATACATTTTAAACTGTAACATAACATTTACCATTTTAACATAGTAACATAAAACATTCCATTTCAGCCATTTTAAAGTGCGCAGTTCCATGGCAAAATTAAACACATTCCCGTTGTGTGCCATTATCCACAAGACTATTTTCATCTTGCAAAACTGACTCTCTGTGCCCGTTAAACAATAACATCCCATTCCCCTCTCCCTAGCCCCAGTAACCACCATTCTGCATTCTGTCTCTATGAATCTGACTATGCTAAATACCTCATGAGAACGGAATCTCTTACATATTTTTGAAATCCGGTTATTTTTAGATTGTATACACTTTTCTCAGAGACACAATTTGGAAGTGGACAAAACTGTACTTCCCGTTTTGTCTTTCACATTGCTATCATCGTTTTCCTTGCGTCACACGGCATCTGGAGCCAAGGCAGTGCTCACCTGTGTAGGTGTGATGTGGCTGATGTCTTCGGATGCAAGCTGCTTCAGAAGAGTGGTCTTGCCAGCATTATCCAAACCCAGGAGAAGGATTCTCACCTCCTGGTCTGGTGCACTTTTCAACTTGCGCAAAATTGAGAGCAAGCCCTTGAACAACCATGAAGGAGACAGATTACTTTGGGGGCACTGACTTTGCTATTACTGGATATCAGAATAGCTTCTCCTTGAAAGAAGTTCTTGGTTATGGAGAGCCTATGTTATTATTTTTCATTCTAATGCCACTTATTCTGTTTGCTTCCTCTTTCCAAGTTTTTGTGGAAATCCTAAATTAAATCAGCAACTTAATAAGTAGCATGGCTTATTCCTGCTCCTCCTATTATTCCAGCTTAGCAGTCACCCCAAATCTCCTGGGAGTGTGAACTCTACTCCATCTGTGTTCCTAAAGCCCTTTATATACAGTTAAGAGTAGGTAACTGATGTTTGTATTTTTTTCCTTTACTGAAGTTTCTTGTGGTGAGGGCTACACTTCTCACATAATGGCTGGCACTTATTAAACAGACACTGGATAACACCTGTGGAATTAAATAGTATAACACACCCAAGTTAACACAAGATTTTTTCTTTTTTTTGAGATGTAGTCTCACTCTGTTGCCCAGGCTGGAGTGCAGTGGCACGATCTTGGCTCACTACAACTTCTACCTCCCGGGTTCAAACAATTCTCCTGCCTCAGCCTCTCCTGAGTAGCTGGGATTACAGGCATGTGCCACCACGCCCAGCTAATTTTTGTATTTTTAGTAGAGATGGGGTTTTACCTTGTTGGTCAGGCTGGTCTCAAACTCCTGACCTCATGATCCGCCCATCTCAGCCTTCCAAAGTGTTGGGATTACAGGCGTGAGCCACCACACCTGGCCACACAAGATTTTACAGGCGTTATACAAAAATATATAAAAAGGCTATATAAAATTAGAATTAGTTTCTCTGTTTATGATTTTATCTATTTCATCATTTTCCATTGCATGCCTGTATCAAAATATCTCATGTACCCTACAAATATATACACCAAGGAGCCATAAAAATTAAAAAGAAAAAATTTAAAATTTTTAAAAATCTATTTTAGTACAACTGTAAGACTTCTTCACTCAAAATGTTCTACCATCATCTTTCACAAGACCCTATAGGACAGGTGCATGATATAGATTATCTGTGTTTTTTAGATAAAAAATTTGGTACAATAGAGAAGTTAGGAAATCATAAAAGGCACCTATGAAGCAAAAAAAAAAAAACCAAAAAAACAAAAAACCCACCAAAATTAACCAAGGAATGTTTTACTGTTTGTTAATCTAATATTTCTGTTTCTTATTTTCTTTATTATTATTTTTAGACAGAGCCTCACTCTGTCACCCAGGCTGGAGTGCAGTGGTGTAATCTCGGCTCAACTGCAACCTGTCTCCTGGGTTTAAGCAATTGTCGTGCGTCAGCCTCCAGAGTAGCTGGGATTACAGGAGTGAGCCACTATGCCTGGCTAATTTTTATATTTTTAGTAGAGATGGGGTTTTGCCACGCTGGCCAGGCTGGTCTTGAACTCCTGGCAAGTGATCCACCCACCTTGGCCTCCCAAAATGTTGAGATTACAGACATAAGCCACCTCTCCTGGCCATTATTTATTATGTTTTTATGGATAGAAATAAACCATGTTGCTGGGCATAGTGGCTCATGCCTGTAATCCCAGCACTTTGGGAGGTTAAGGCAGGAAGGCTGCTAGAGCCCAGGAGTTCAAGACCAGCCCTGGCAACATAGTGAGATCCTGTCCCTACAAAAAATAAAAAACGAATAAGCCAGGCATGGCGGCACACGCCTGTGGTCCCAGCCACTCAGGAAGCTGAGTTGAGAGGATTGCTTGAGCCTCGAGGTTGAGGTTGCAGTGAGCTGTATTTGCACCACTGCACTCCAGCCTGAGTAAAGAAGTAAGACTCTATCTCCAAAAAAGAAAAAAGAAAAAAAGAAATAAACCATGTTGATTTTTAGTTAAGAACGTAAGACAATCTTTATAGGAAAGTTATTTGTTCTGTGCTATAGCTGACAATCTTGTTCTAACAACACATGGCTAGAACAAGAGTCAAAGAATCACAGAGTTTAAAGGGCATATAATTTAGTCTCCCAGCTCAAGAAGAAATTCCTTCATACTGAATCTTAGAATTACGTAAAATGGTATTTGTTATTCACACTGCAGCAGGCAATAATTCAAACCAGTTTGTTCACTAAGATCAAACGGTACTTCTGAGAAACAATTCTCAACAACTGCATCTTTGGACAATGATATGCAAATATGCATAATTATTAAGAATTCCTTTCTGCCTCAGAGACTATTTACCATTTCTCATACTGTATTTGTACTGACTTGCTAAGGACCACATTAACCTCTCTATGCCTCAATTTTTTCCAGCAGTAAAATGGAAGTTTTAGTCTAAGCTAGACAAATTTGATGCCAAAAGATTTTGGGGAGAAAGATTAAATAGATTTGAAACAAACAAAAGTCTGGCTTTTTAAAAGGCCAGACTTTTTTTCTTTCTTTTTTTTGGTGGGGAACAGGGTCTTCCTCTGTCACCTAGGCTAGAGTGTGTGGCGTGAACACGGCTCACTGCAGCTTCGACTTCCTGGGCTCAAGCGATCCTTCCACCTCAGCCTTTCCAGTAGCTGGGACTACAGCTCATGCTGCCATGCCTCGCTAAGTTTCGTATTTTTTGTAAAGATGGGGTTTTACCATATTGCCCAAGCTGAAAATTCCTAAGCTCAAGTGATCCACCCAAAGGCAAGACTTTTTTTTTGCTTTTTTATCTCATCTGGTCTTGAATACTTTGACACCATTCCTTCTTAAAACTATATGTACAAGAACTCTCCCTGGTTTCTATTAGCTATATTGCAATCACTCATTTATAATATCACCTTTCAGAAAAGTAAAAATTAGAATTCTGAGATCCTTAGGGGACTAGTCATATAAAAAGGCTAAGCACAGGAAAACCCATTTTACTACTCATCTTTGAGTTCCTGATTATAAGTGAAAAGAAGGGACCTCATTACTTCTTGAATTCTAAAACAGCTGGAATGTATCAAATTAGTACATTAAATGACATATAAGCAAAGTTCTTCTCACGCATTATCTGATTATCTGCTTATGCAGAAATTATAAAGGAAGATATGTTTTCTTTTTCTTTTTTTTTGAGACGGAGTTTTGCTCTTGTTGCTCAGGCTGGAGTGCAATGGTGCGATCTCGCTTACTGCAACCTCTGCCTCCCGGGTTCAAGTGATTCTCCTGCCTCAGCCTCCTGAGTAGCTGGGATTATAAGCATGCGCCACCATGCCCAGCTAATTTCGTATTTTTAGCAGAGACAGAGTTTCTCAATGTTGGTCACGCTGGTCTCGAATTCCCAACCTCAGGTGACCGCGCCCAGCCTATAAAATATTTTCAGTTTAAAATTAATGTTTTGGGTTTTTCCTCATGTGTCTCTTTTTAAAAAGATCACTAACAATACTGTTTTTTTTTTTTTCCTTCGGGTAGAGACTTTCTACATACTCATTACATTTGAAATTAAATAATTAAGAGAAAAACAAGACCAGGCACAGTGATTCACACCTGTAATAACAGTGCTTTGGGAGGCCGAGGCAGGAGGATAGCTTGAGGCCAGTAATTCAAGACCATCCTGTGCAACAAAGTGAGACACATATCCCTACCAAAAAGAAAAAATGATCCAGGTGTGGTGGTGTGCACCTGCGTTTCCAGCTACTCAGGAGGCTGAGACAGAAGGATGGCTTGAGCCCAAGAGTTTGAGGCTGTAGTAAGCTATGGTCAGGCCACTGCATTCTGGGCTGGATGAGAGAGCTGGATCCTGTCTCAAAAAAAGGGAGGGGAGGGGAGAAACATAATGTTTATTCATCTTAAAAGGAGAGGAGCAAAGCACAGATGAGAAAGAAAATAATTCTAACTATAAGGCTGAGCACAGTGGCTTGTGCCTGTAATCCCAGCACTTTGGGAGGCTGAGGTGGGTGGATCACTTGGGGCCAGGAGTTTGAGACCAGCCTGGCCAACATGGTGAAACCTCATTTCTACTAAAAATACAAAAAATTGGCCAGGCATGATGTCGGGTACCTGTATTCCCAGCTACTTGGGAGGCTGAGGCAGGAGAATAGCTTGAACCTGGAAGAGGAAGGTTGTAGTGAGCTGAGATCACACCACTGCACTCTAGACTGGGCCACAGAGATAGACTCCGTCTCAAAAAAAAAAAAAAATTCTAACTATAGATAAACTTTTTTTTTTTTTTTTTTTTGAGACAGAGTTTCGCTCTTGTTACCCAGGTTGGAGTGCAACGGCGTGATCTCGGCTCACCGCAACCTCCGCCTCCTGGGTTCAGGCAATTCTCCTGCCTCAGCCTCCTGAGTAGCTGGGATTACAGGCACGCGCCAACACGCCCAGCTAATTTTTTGTATTTTTAGTAGAAACGGGGTTTCACCATGTTGACCAGGATGGTCTCGATCTCTTGACCTCGTGATCCACCCGCCTCGGCCTCCCAAAGTGCTGGGATTACAGGCGTGAGCCACCGCGCCCGGCAGATAAACTTTACTAACCTAATAGTGTAGAATACAGTGCTTCTACATTTCCAATGAGTGAATTTCCTTATTAGGAAATAATAACTTCAGATGCTTCACCTTTAAGTGAAATTATGGAGAAATGGAAAGTTCAGCTAATATTTTCTTCCAGCAAAAGGAAAAATGGCATTTCAAGCATGGTCTAGGGAAGACAAGTACAAATATAATACAGCATCATATTAATCCAACTACTGAGGACAGGGGATCACAGGATTATCAGGGTTTGCTAAATAGGGAAGAGGATATTTATAGAGATCAGGGTTCTGCCTGAAAGGTACAAAGTAAGCTGATTTAAGAGGCTGGAAGAAAGAGACCAGAATAAGTCTATTCCATGCATCTATGCATATATGCCCATATTTTATTTCAACTGTCAAATGAAGGGAGACAGATATTAGAAGTTAAATTTATTATGGGGCTGAGTGTTGCAGTATAAATAGAATAAAATTAATTTTTAAAGTGTATTTTTGGCCAAAGTATCCATTCACTCAATTATCATTAAACATCAATAATCTGCCTTAGGTACAAGAGTGGGCAAAACAGACATGATCTCTATGTAGGATTTATATTCCTGTGACATTAAAGCAATTTAAGAAACATGAACTTCAGTTACAAGTATATTGTGTGTTACCAGCATGTATGTATACAAGTTATCTGCACCCTGGTGGGCAGAAGTGGACTGACTCAACCACAAAACATTTAAGCAAACTTTTCTACAGTCAAATCATGAATAGATGGACTATGGACTACAGAGGTTTCATCTGCCTTGAAATCAGCTTAAACTCAACTGTTGGGCCAGACGCAGTGGCTCACGCCTGTAATCCCAGCACTTTGGGAGGCCAAGGTGGGTGGATCACGAGGTCAAGAGGTCGAGACCATCCTGGTCAACATGGTGAAACCTCATCTCTACTAAAAATACAAAAAATTAGCTGGGCATGGTGGTGCGTGCCTGTAATCCCAGCTACTCAGGAGGCTGAGGCAGGAGAATTGCCTGAGCCCAGGAGGCGGAGGTTGCGGTGAGCCGAGATCGCACCATTGCACTCCAGCCTGGGTAACAAGAGCGAAACTCCGTCACAAAAGAAAAAAAAAAAAAAGAAAGAAACTCAACTGTTGGCAGAGGCATGGTACACTGACCTAAAACAATACAAACTAGGTCATTCAAAGAAATCAGAGTGGTGGAGCGGGGAGAAATGTGTTGGTATATGGAAAACATACGTGGCTGTAAGGAGCAGCTAAAATTTAAATACTGAAATTTTGAAGCCAACCGTCTCGTACGTGCAGTCCCTATAACTGGCTTAAATGTAACTGACTTCCATTTATTTTTACCTCTTTTAACTGAACTCCTCAGTTTAAAGCTCAAAATGGAGAGCTTCATCCAAACTTTATCTTCTTTCTCATCACTCTCTGCTAAATAAATACAAACAATGTTTCCTGAGGAACAAAATCTGGGCATCTCCTCAGGAAGAGTGAGTTCCCACTTTACCAGAGTCCTAATGAAATGAACATTATGGGCTTTAGAGTTTTTCAGACTTGTATTCAGCTTGTGTGTGTGTGTTTATATATATATATATAAAACCCTGCACATTTTCTAGTTTCAGCTAGAAAATGGGAATAATACTTATATCTCAAGAAATGATGTTATGAGGATGAAATGAGGTCATGTATGTAAAGCATGACACAAAGTAGCCACTCAAAACAATAGCCTTGTGTTTTATTTTTTAAAATAAATTTTCACTGCCATTTTCTAGCCAGAAAATATAAATACTGTTGGGAACAAATCTTCAAATGTTGAACATGCATGAGAACAATCACAGCTCCATATATGTAGAAAGTACTCCATAAATAATTACTGAATGAAGGAGTCAGATGTTAAATAACAGTGGTTAGTTATGTGCTAAAATTACTGTCATTTTAGTAATTCATCAAGAACCTGGCATTGTAAAGCAGGGGTAAAACAGTTGACTCTAAATGTTCAGGGAAACCCATATTTGGGTTTTTGCCACAGTTACCCAAATTTGAAAAACACTGTGTGTTAGTCACAGCTGAAGTTTAAAACAAAAACCAAAAAAAACTTGGGGTTCACTCTTCAGTTGTACAGTTAAAGCTCATGGGATACCGGATAGGATACACTTAAGTCACACCACTGACTAAATTCAGTGTTCTACTTCCAGTTTTAAGAATAGCTGACCCTTTTGGAGATAGAAAAAAAAAAATGCATTTGGGAAAGCAGATAAAGAATCTAGACTAATTTGTCCTCATTTCTTACTGTTCATTCCAGGAAAAGTAAAAAAGAAAAACAAAATGTTTTCATCATTGAACACAACAGTTGTATACAACAGTGTGTGTATACACTGTCAGTTTGTTGTATACAGTGCCAATTTGCACCTGGAAACATGAGCAGTGGTTAAATTACTGTGGCCTGTAATTATACATTAAACAATCACGGAATTACACAGTCCACTTAACTGATAAACAAACTGGGAAAAGTTAGCCAACTCTCATGCACTTCTCATCCATAATGACAAATCTCATTCTCTGTTGGTTTGGCATGCCCTTTTCATTTCAATTCTAGCTATTTTCTGGGTAAATATTTATGTTTGCACTCATTTGTTGTGAAAAACTTAGCCTTTAAACCAGGCGTCCCCGAACTACGTGCGGCCCCCTGAGGCCATTTATCCGGCCCCCGCCGCACTTCAGGAAGGGGCACCTCTTTCATTGGTGGTCAGTGAGAGGAGCACAGTATGTGGCGGCCCTCCAACGGTCTGAGGAACAGTGAACTGGCCCCCTGTGTAAAAAGTTTGGGGACGCTTGCTTTAAACGGACAGCTCCTGTATAAACAATTAAGAAACAGAAACAGTTGTAAAAATCTGTTTAGCCTGACGTTAAAAAAAAAAAAAAAAAAAAAAAACCTGCAAGTGTAGCAAGTGTGAAATGCGATTGGCAACTTTAGAACAAATAACTCTACTTCTTTAACAATCTGGAGATATAAAATCAATTGAGATTTTTTTTTCCTATCTAAATCTAATGACCGGATAATCTGACCAAACATACATGTATTATTTTTTCTTCCTGGGCATCTAGCTTTAGATTTTTTTCTTCTTCTTAAATCAGCAGAAGTGGCTCAACATTTCTAAAAGTCAAGAAAGGAACGAGGAAGTGAGGTGGAACAGTAAATATAAGTTTGATTACAGGCTCTTCGCAGCCAACTAAACTGCTCTAAGTGCTTCAAAATCAATTTTTCTTTGATAGCTCTAAAATTACTCAATTCCATTTTAACTCCCTCCAACTAACTGTACAGAAACCAACAAGAAACCGAGTGTTAAGAGTCAGATCTGTCACAACCATAATTTAGAATTTGGGAAAGCTTTAATTAGGGTTGACGGAGAGCCCCAGATTGAAGTTCAATCTCCATTTTCAACTTCTCGTTCTTTTCAGTTTGGAGACCACAAGACAGGATAAGAATTTTTGGTCCTGGTGTGGTCACATGCAAAAGGAGATTGCAAAAGGTCTCGAAGGAAATTCAAGGGACCGGGCAGCTAATTTGCCTCCATCAACGTGGATTAAGTATTGAATGAAAAATCGGTCATCACCAACAACCAGGTCTTGCAAAGCTCTCAGCAAATAACCAGCTAATTCGGGACTGAGGAAGCGCACCCGCCACGCAGACACCAAGACGGCGTAAAATCCACCAGGCATCCCTTACAAGAGGCACCCCTTGGTGTCCTGGGACTTACTCCCCTGCCCCCCAGGGGCCCGCAGAGCGCGAGAAGGAGGAGAGCTAGACTACCATCTCCCCTGCTACCGCCAGGGCGACCTCAGAGACAGCGGGGCCGGCCTTCTCTCCGCTTCTGGCCGGGCTCCAGAAGAACCCCACTTTACTGCAGCGCCGGGAGACCGACGGCCCGGGAAGTCTAAGCTTGCAAGCAAAAGCTGCTCTATGCAGCTCCTCGGATCCGCCCTCACCGCTGCCCCCCAAGTAATGATGGAGCCTGGCCTCCGCATCCGGCCATCCGCGCACTCTGCCAGCCCCTTCCCCAAGCCTCGGACCCGCTGCAAGCCCCGCCTTCCTCTCCAGGCCCAGACCTCCCTCCAGGGCCCACCCTCAGGGCTCCCCGCCGACCCTGAAAACCAGTCCAGAACCCACACAGCAGGCTGATGGCCGTCCCGTTCCCTCCTTGGCTTTCAGCGCAGTGCTCCGCCCTGGGCCTGGGGACGGGAGGGGGGTAACCGGCCGGCTCCAAGGGGGCCCGGGCCCCCACACTCACCATCCTCCCGCCGAGTCCCTCCTCCTCCTCCTCCTCCTCCTCCTCCTCCTCCTCCTGCTGCCTCCCCCGTTACCAGGGGCAACTGCTGCGGCGCCGCCCCCAACGTCCTTAGCACGCAGAGCGGAGATGCAGAGCAGCGGTACGGGGCGGGGTGCAGCGCCGCTTCCCCGAGTGCGCAGGCGCGTCAAGGCGCCCGCCCGCTGCGCGGGCGGGTTACGGCGGCAGCAGAGGCAGCCGCCGGCTCGCCGGGACCCGGAGTGGAGAAGGCGTGCCCATGCGGCTGGCGGACCTGGGATTGGTGGAGACGGAGGGGCGTGGGGCGGGCGTGGGGGCGGTTCCCCCGCTCAGGTCCTCCTCTCGCCCAGCCAGGTTTCCCAAGCGGGCTTTATCTGTTGGCATTTGTCCCGGGACCAGGTAAGGGGCTTTGGGAGGAAGCCGCTCGCCCTATCTTCTTCCAATCGCCACATCTCGGGAGGGAGCTGAGATTTCTGTCCTGACTGCCCAGGCCGGGCCGCAGCGCGGGCTGGACTTCCACCTGCAGAAGCCACGTGGCGCGAGGAGTGGCCTGGAGCTGCAGATGGACCCCTCAGCTCCGACTCCCATTGCCTGCGACTGCCAGGCCGAGGGGCTGGGGCTTTATGAGCTGTTCGGGATGGGGGAGTACTGATGAGGGGAGGTCGTCTGTCGGAGGGCAAGCAGCAGCCTGGGGGCTGGCCCTGAGCCCTGAGGTGAGCTGAAAGCACAGGTGAAAGACGTTTTGGGGATCGGCCCGGTTTTTGCTTTTGTGTTTGTTTTGAGATAGGGTGTCGCTCGGTCGCCGGGGCTGGAGTGCGGTGACACGATCTCGGCTCACTGCAGTCTTCGCCTCGTGGGCCTCAGCCATTCTGCCGCCTCAGACTCTTGAGTAACTAGGATTGCAGGCGGGCACCACCACGCCCAGCTAATTTTTTGTATTTTGTTTTTGTAGAGACGGGGTTTCTCCGTGTTGCTCACGCTGGTCTCAAACTCCGCCCGCCTAGGGACTACAGGTGTCCCAAGTGAGCCACTGCGCCCAGCCTCTGGCCGGTTTTGCTAAGCTGCGTTAGACTGGTCCGAGCACCATCTGTAGTCCTGTAAGAGACAAAAATGCGCCTGCATTTTCAGCCAAGGAAGAGCAAGAGGGGTACTGGGGTGCGTTAGGAAGTGCTAAGTGCGTTAGGAAGTGCTACCTCCCACCCCTTTCCCGAGGACTATAAGAAGAGTTTGCACAGACGTCCTAGGTAGGCCCTGTTCTAGACGCTGGAGACACAGCAGTGGACAGAAATCAGCCCTTATGGAAATTACATCCTTCCTAGTGAAATGCGTTTCATACCAAATTTCATTTCATTTTCACAACCCCTAGAGATTGGTAATTGCGGCCAGGTGAAGTGGCTCATGCCTATAATCCCAGCACTTTGAGATGCTGAGGGGGAGGATGGCTTGAGCCCAGGAGTCGGAGACCAGTCCGGGCAACACAATGGGACCCTGTCTCTACAAAAATACCTTTTTTTTAAATTAGCCAGATTCTGTGCTGCACTTGTAGTCCTAGCTGCTCGGGAGTTTGAGACTGGAGGATTGCTTGAGCCCAGGAGCTATTATCACACCACTGTACCACAGGCTGGGTGACAGAGCAAGACCCTGCCTCAAAAAAACTAAAACAAAAACCAACATCTGCTACTTGCATACCTACTTCAGATCCTTGGAGAGAAAAGCCCGGTTCAGAGCCTTGACTAAGCAGGTGATGAATGGTTGGTTTAGTAGAGCACAAAGCCCTATCATCTACACATCTCTAGACCATTGGCCCTTTTGTGAAAAAGGCAAGACAGGGTACTCTTTCTTTTTTTTTTTTTTTTTTTTTTTTTTTTTGAGACGGAGTTTCGCTCTTGTTACCCAGGCTGGAGTGCAATGGCTCGATCTCCGCTCACCGCAGCCTCCGCCTCCTGGGCTCAGGCAATTAGGCAATTCTCCTGCCTCAGCCTCCTGAGTAGCTGGGATTACAGGCACGCGCCACCATGCCCAGCTAATTTTTTGCACTTTTAGTAGAGACGGGGTTTCACCATGTTGACCAGGATGGTCTCGATCTCTCGACCTCGTGATCCACCCGCCTCGGCCTCCCAAAGTGCTGGGATTACAGGCTTGAGCCACCGCGCCCGGCTGACAGGGTACTCTTTGTAAGTCATCTGGTGTCTTAACAGCCCAGCAGCCTTGGAATCAGACGAGTATCCATAAGCCTATACCTGGGCCTCCTCCTGTAATTATTACTCTCATTTTCCAGCTTGCTCTAGGCAGCCTTGATCCTAATCTTTGCCTGTCCCAGTGGTCTTTGTGTCTGACCTTCTGAGGTCTTTGGCTGCCTTCCTCTTCCTCTGATGGGAGTACCAGCGATGATGTTTCGCTTTTCTCCCTACCTGGGACTACAAACAGGAATCTTGTGCACTTCTGCTTGTGAGAGGATACCTCAGAAGAAATCTGGAAGCTTGTTTTCTGATCTCTGATACCATTTGCCATAGAAAACCTGCTCTCTCTGGGAAGGATGGGCATAATGTCAGAGGAGGTAGTAGTCTGTTTCTTTTTTTTCTCTTTCTTTCCCTCTCACTCTTTCTTTCCTTCTTTTTTAAGGAGATGGCAAGTAGGTTATAGTGGACAGAAAACCTTGGGGGAAGTAAGGCCTTAGCTGTTGTCCTGTCTTTGGGGACTGGATCTGTTAACTGTCCATCTTTATAACTACTGCAAGTGCTTAGTGCAGGACCAAGTGTACCCAAAATGCCCAATCCATGTGCACCTTTCTCAGCTTCAGTTTCCTCCTCTGAAAACTGAGATCTTGGATCACTAATGTCTTCCAGCTGTGAATTCTCTAATCCTAGGAGGGAGATATCATTCAGTCACCGGTCTGATTTTTTTACTCCTACCTTGTTCCTAGTAGTGGAACCATAATCCTTCAGAAGTGGGGCTACTCTGGACATGATAATGGCCTTTTTAGGGAAGACTAGATGTGGCTTGTGTGGGAGGCGGGACAGTAACTGTGGAAGAAAAATTAGATTAGAGACCAGTATGACTCAGTATAGGCAAGGTAGACAATTTGCAGCTTCATGAAAGAAGCCTGCGCTTAATTCTGTAACAAGTTCTGAGTTTGCCTTAAAAGAGGTGATATCCAGCCGGGCGCGGTGGCTCAAGCCTGTAATCCCAGCACTTTGGGAGGCCGAGGCGGGTGGATCACGAGGTCGAGAGATCGAGACCATCCTGGTCAACATGGTGAAACCCTGTCTCTACTAAAAATACAAAAAATTAGCTGGGCATGGTGGCTCGTGCCTGTAATCCCAGCTACTCAGGAGGCTGAGGCAGGAGAATTGCCTGAGCCCAGGAGGCGGAGGTTGCGGTGAGCCGAGATCGCGCCATTGCACTCCAGCCTGGGTAACAAGAGCGACACTCCATCTCAAAAAAAAAAAAGAAGTTAGAAGCTCGAAGGTGGCTTTTATCACCTCCATTTATAAAAGAGGTGATATCCTTGATGCCAAGAGACCCAAAAAGAAGTTGGAATGCATTTCAAGTAAGCTGTAAATATTTTTAGAGGGCATATGAAAGATGTAGCAGTAAACATCACAGATGCTCGGGAGCCTTACAGTCTGTCGGGGAGGAGGCTTTACACAAATAACAGTCAATGACAAGAAGGTGACAATCACAGAAGCCCAGCTTGCTGCAAAGGACAGGATCCTGTGGGAGCATATATCACAGAAGGACTTGGATTTGCCCTGCAGGGGTCAGGGAACGGTGCCCATTGGGGGTTAGTGGGTGTGTGGGGGAAATGTCCCAGACAGATCATTCAGATTTTTTTTTTTTAATGTTTTATTTAAGACAGGGACTCTGCAGTTTCTTTCTTGACTTCAGTTAAGAAGGCAAAGACTGGCCGGGCGCGGTGGCTCAAGCCTGTAATCCCAGCACTTTGGGAGGCCGAGGCGGGTGGATCACGAGGTCGAGAGATCAAGACCATCCTGGTCAACATGGTGAAACCCCGTCTCTATTAAAACTACAAAAAATTAGCCGGGCATGGTGGCGCTTGCCTGTAATCCCAGCTACTCAGGAGGCTGAGGCAGGAGAATTGCTTGAACCCAGGAGGCGGAGGTTGCGGTGAGCGGAGATCGAGCCATTGCACTCCAGCCTGGGTAACAAGAGCGAAACTCCGTCTCAAAAAAAAAAAAAAAAAAAAAAAAAAAAAAACAAGAAGGCAAAGACTCTTGCATAATTAGCAAATGATTAGATTACCCCTTGATGATACTGCCTCCATTCTGAGAAGCAGAGGACTTTGCAGTGTTGAGTTAAGGGGAACAGAGATGTCAAGAGGAGGTCTGGCCCTGTGTGTGTCTGTGTGTGTTGAGGGGGAGGCATAGCATTTTACTCAGTCAGGCTGTCTCCAGCATGTGTGAGCCTGGGGCTCTGTAAGCCAAGGCAGCGTGTGTCAGCCAGCTAGGCTGACTCCTTTTAGGTTCAAGTAGAGTCTGGGAAAATGAACTCTTTCCCCTCCTCCCACTCCTGCTTCAGTTGGGACTGAGAGAAATGGCTTTGGTCTTTGAACCAGCCTGCAGGAGGCCAGGTGGCGGGGGAGAAGGAAGTCTGAGTTTTGCAGTGGACTCTTGGGCAGTGTCTGCCTTCTGACTTCTCTGGAGATTGCTGCTTCAGGGAAGCATCAGGGCCAAGCCAGGGTGCTTTGGATACTCCCTGCTGAGCCTCTCCTCTTATCCCTGGTCCTTCCTCTTAGGAAATGGTGTACCCTCAGTCTATCAGCTTCCTGATGTCTCTTCCGCCTTAACGCAAAATCTAAAAATTGACCACCACTCTTCCTTCCCCATGTTGGTCCCTCCTGCCTCCTTTCTTGAACTCAAACTTCTGGTCTCCCAAAGTGCTGAGATTACAGGCCTGTGCCTGTCTTCACCTCCTTTCTCTCTTCTTTCTGGTGGTTCTTCCCATCTTTGGGGGCTTCCTTTTCTCAGCTTCTTTTTTCTTTTCTTTCTTTTTGAAATGGAGTCTTGTTCTTGTTGCCCAGGCTGGAGTGTAATGGCACAATCTCAGCTCACCACAACCTCTGCCTCCCAGATTCAAGTGACTCTCCTGCCGCAGCCTCCCGAGTAGCTGGGATTACAGGCTCCCGCCACCATGCCTAGCTAA